GAAGGGCTGCGGTTCCCCTGCCGGGCTCCTCGGGTCTTCAGCTTTTCTGGGCGCTTGTTTCGGGGGAACCTTTTGGGTCCCCACTGCCGGTGAACCCCCAGAGGAGTAGTAACCACTGTTACTCTCTCACACACAATAAACTCTCTCGGACTAGCCTGTTCTCGCCTTCCTTGGGTGGGCGCGAGAATATTCCGATCCGATCTCAAGAAATAAAAAACCCACAAGAAACAAATTTGAGAAAAAGATTAGTTTTGGAGGCTGCCAAACATGACTACCTTTTTAAAGTACGGATTTTAAAAAATATAAAGGCTATGAGGAATGCTAAAACTTAAGAGCAGTACAAGTTAGCAAGGTCGAGTTCTTGAACTCTGAACAACCAGGAAATGAAAGAAAGCTAAAAAATTAATATGAACGAGATTATTACTTCATACAGCAGGAAATAAACATCTGTAACTCGTCCCATTAAGGCATGGGATGTATTAAGTTCGATTGAAGGAGAGGTTAAATATATTTGGGAAATAACATCCTTAATGAATCATGATGAGAAATTAGTTTTTGAATAAAAGGATCTTCAATTTCTTGAACACTTTATTTTGGGGAATTTAAACTCACACATGGTTTCTTAGTGCCATTGGAAGAAAGAGAATATTAGATTTGACAGATTACCTGACCCCCCAGCATCATAAATTTTATCATTATTGAGTCATGCAACATTGAAGACGTTTTTCAAAAAAAATCACTTCATTTTTGCATATTCACTTATAGTGTTGTCCAAAAGTTTATGTAGTTTTGCATAATTGAAGTTATAATTTTCATACAACTATATTTTGCTTATATCCCTTACCATACTCTAAAGATTTCTTATTTTTTTAGTGGTCTTATTGTGAATCCTGAAAGAAAAAGAAAAAAAAAAAGACACCTGCCCTAGCCGGCTTGGCTCAGTGGATAGAGCATCAGCCTGCGGACTGAAGGGTCCCAGGTTCGATTCCGGCCACGGGCACATGCCTGGGTTGTGGGCTCAATCCCCAGTGGGGTGTGCAGGAGGCAGCCGATCAATGATTCTCTCTCATCATTGATGTTTCTATCTCTTTCTCCTTCTCCCTTCCTCTCTGAAACCAATAAAGAAATATATTAAAAAAAAAAAAAGGACACCTAATTAATAAGGGCTCTTGGTGGCTAACTGGGCTCAAATTTTTAAAAACAGACTCCAGTAGCCATTTCTGCACAGGGGCCTCTGGCACAAACTGCACTTCAAGGAGTAGCCTGTACTGAACTACCTGCCTCTATGCTGAACTGCCTACCTGTACTGTATTTCTGCCACCTGAGCGAGCCTATAAAGGAGTTCCTGACATCCTATTTCAAACAATAGGATTGAGGATTTCCTCATCCAGTCAAAACTGTGAAGCTCTAACCAATTAGAGTGGCTCTATTCTGACCAATCAGGACAGTGCCTTTTGGACCAATCAAACTATGAGGATTTGGAGTCTTCATTTGCATGAGGCAGGCCAATCAGGGACCAGAGAGGGGACTCCTGTTTATATAAACCTTCTCCCCTATGGCTGGGAGAGCATACTTTCCCTTTCCACTGAAGACTTATTGAGCTGAGACACCCACACATGTGGTGGGGCTTACTAGCTCAGTTGATTAGGGCATCAGTATAATAGAATCTCCTCCCCAATCAGGGCACATATAAGAATCAACCAATGAATATATAAATAAGGGTAACAACAATCTGTGTCTCTCTCTTTCTCTCAAATCAATTTAAAAAAGAAAAAAGAAAAACACCCACAGATGACTCTGCAGTGCTGCACAAAGGAGACCTACCCTGAGCAGAACAGAGCAAATAATCCAGGAGCAGTGCAGATCTGTCTAGCTGGAGAGGGGCCTGGCCCCAGGGCTGTTCTGCAGCTGTGCTGTTTCCCAGCACTTTGTCCTGAATAAAGTTTCCTTCTTTTCACTGCAACCCCAATCTGGTGTTGAATTGGCACCAACAACTACAGACTGACATAAGATAGAGAGTTAGAAACATCGATGAGAGAGAAACATTGATCAGCTGCCTCCTGCACACCTCCTACTGGGAAGTGTGCCCGCAACCAAGGTACATGCCCTTGACTGGAATCGAACCTGAGACCTTTCAGTCTGCAGGCCGATGCTCTATCCACTGAGCCAAACCAGTTAAGGCTGACATAATCATTTTTAAGTGGGGCATATTTCCCTTAGGCAGTCAGTATACAGACAGCCCTCGGGTTATGTCCGACTCGACATACATCGTTTTGTGGTTACGTCACCATCTCCCAGTTATTTATAAAAAAAAAGTTCCTTCATTTCGACGTATGTACATATGTGCTTTATTTTTTTAATATTATTTATTTACCACAAGTAAAGGTCAGGAATTGTTATCTTTTTTAATATTTTTTTTACTGTTTCACTTCATTACTGTGTGTATGTGCTCCATGTGAGTGACCTAGGTGCTTATGTAGGTGGGTTCCATCTTATAGCGAAAATCGCATTACATCGAGCTGTAGGAATGGACCTCTGACATAACCTGAGGACCTACTGTATAGGCTCAACATAAGTACTCCAATATGAAGGTAAGTTTACTATCACTGACAAGAAAATATATAACAAATATAAAGGATGAGATCAGCCATCTATAAAAATGAAACAACCAAGAGGATTTGATGCCTAGTACACAGGTCTCAGTTCTCAGTTCTATACTCCCAAGGTATAGACACCAGTGCACAGTGTCCCCAACAGAGGCCTAATCTGAGATGACCTTTTTCTCATCAAATTCAATAAGTTGGTGTAAAAATTTACAGCTGTGGTCTTTAAAGTGATATGTGCCTATAATTTATGATGTTATTGAATCCTATTATGTACTATGTTAAATAATAAATGAATATGACCCCTGCCTTCAAGGAATCTATAGTCTGTGAGAGAAATATAACTATAAACAGATCAGAGTCAAATATGTATATAAACAAATGTGATAGACTAAAGGATGGAGCTTCTAACTCTCCTTGGGCAAGTCTGGGAAGGAGGTGATGGTTAAACTGGATCCTAAATGATTAGTGGGCAAAGGCCCAGCCAAAGGGCAGTGGGAGAAGGGAGGAAGCCCAATGGAGAAAGCAGAGGTTGAGCAAATACAAGAGATGGCCCCTTCCCTCTTCCTCACTTACCCCCCACATATAGGGTGGTACCTTAAGTGACCTTCTGAAGATCCAAAATCCCCCACTCCCCTCTCTCAAAGTGCATCATAATTCACCATTTCCCATTTCTGCAGCTCAACCAGAATTCACATTCTCTCAGTGCAGCTGCTCTCTTAAAAGGTTTTAGGAGCCCTGCCTGGTTTAGCTCTGTGGATAGAACATCGGCCTCCCAGGTTCGATTCCATTTAAGGGCACGTGCCTGGGTTGTGGCCTCAATCCCCAGTGGGGGGTGTGCAGGAGGCAACCAATCAATGACTCTCTCTCATCATTGATGTTTCTATCTCTCTCTCCCTCTTTTTTCCTCTCTGAAATCAATAAACATTTAAAAAAAAAAAAAACGTTTTAGGAGTCTGGTTGGGTGAAAGTAATCTACTTAAAGCAAGAATACATTCCTGGGGTACCAGCCATTTTAAAAAAGAAATTTGTGAGCTCAAATGAATCTTAAACTTGCAGAAGTATGCAGGGAAGAATTCTTTCAGCAGGGAAATTTCCAGATTCCCCTTGTGTATTTTGGTCTAGCCGCTCTTTTTTTTTTCTTTATAAAATCTTTACTATTGAAAGTATTACATAGGACCTCTTTTTCCCCCATTAACCTCTTCCAGCCCGCTCCCATCCTCACCCCCCCCCCGCCCCCCGGCCCTCACCACCCCATTGTCTGTGTCCACCCGTTATGTATGCTAGTATGCCTACAAGCTCATTGGTTGTTCTCTTCCTACCCACCCTCCCTTGCCTTCCCTCTGA